ATTTCTTAAATTAGAAAAGTTTTGAAGGATGCTAATAATCTATCTTTATTATTTCTCCTAGCATTATGTTTGATGATCTCTTAGATTTCATCTGTAAAGTGTTTTAGAGTTTCATATCCTAATGTATAGACTAATTTTTGAGTATTGCAAAGAGAAATTTGGAGGTTATTATGGCTTATTTACAGTCTGAAATGTACTGACAACTGATAAATGCATGTGGAAGGCAAGGGATAGAAGCAGGGGCAAGTTCTAAAGATAACATTCTTCAGATTAATGTGTCTTTTACTATGGACATGGGTGGAAAGAGATTCATATCTCCATTACTCTGTGGTTTTAATTTTTTTTGGCAGCAGGGAGAAATATTTTTTCAAACTCTCCTATTGTTTACAGATTCCATTATTCTCCCTTTCTTTTTGCAGATACAAATAAAATTCCTAGCCAACTATTAAGGATAATTAGATTCCTTTATGTTGAAGTTGATGACTGCGCCTCTCAACTATTAATGGCTTCTAAGGAGAACTTGCAAGTGCTTCATATCTGCTTGTGAGATGGTTTCATTTTGTATATGGGACTAAGGGAATTTTTTATGAAAAAGACAACTTTTTGCGTGGCAGAGTTTATCATGAACAAGGATGGATAGAATTTAATTTGTATGCCTTCCCCTACTCTATATAAACCATACATATATAACCAAGTAATCCTTCCTCTGTGATAAAATGAGATAATGTTCTTTAGTTCATGAAAAGTCTGTACAAGAGTGTATTTTAAGAAGTTTGGGATTGGAGGTTTGTTTTGTTTGTGATGGGTTCTGCAGAGAGATTTTTTTATCAGCCCACCCCCACCCACAAGTATGCCTGTCTAGTTGGGCTATTTCTGGAGGCACGACAGCCATTTCAGTATTAATGCAATAGCAAAAGTGAATTGTAATCCTGTGAAGACTTAGGACCTTGGAAGGTGTTCAGTTTCATGTCTGTAAACAGGCTTGAAAGTAGAACATATTTTAAATGTCTGCCTTTAGTCACTAGATTGCAGAAAAAATGACACTGTACTACTTTTCTTTATCCATTTCCTTTGAATTCAGTCAAAGCAAGATTCTTATTGTAGAACTTCAGGGAAGTGGTATGGCTGAAACATTTTGAGCTTCAAGTCTGATTCCACAGGAATCCCTGTCTCTTTTTTTAATGTATTAATCTAAGCTATGACTTGAGTCATTTTATTCAAAGTGGTCAACTCCTTTTCAGAGCAGTGTAATTCTTGTTTGAATAAAAACTGTGCAGGTTTGTTGACTCAGCTTTTCACACTGCCATGAATTGAACATGGTGCCAGTGGAGGATGTTTCTTTCAAAGCTTTGATGATATGAAGTGAAAAAGTAGATCAAGTTACTGCAGGCTCTTTCAGCTCCTCCCTATCATGCACCATGTCTTCCCTTATGCTTTTCCTTTCACATCTCTTGTTCCTGCACTTGTTGCTCAGTGAGGTGTTCCACCAATGGCTCGGAGAGCAAAGCCTAGTACACAGGTAGAAGGGATTTGGCATTCAGTGCATTTCTTGGGGGTTGCAGGTTTACAGGAGCCTCCTGAGGCCATTGACTACTTCAGGAGCACAAGCCGGTCAGGCACACAGTTAGGTGAGTGTGGGCTTGAATGCAGCATCAGAACTGGAAGAAGGCTCATTGGTGCCATTGATTTTATGCAAAGTGGAGTGCAAAGCTGTTATGCTTTATTTTCTTTTTTGGTGGTTAAGTAGAGAGAATCCAGAATTAAAATGTATCATGAAGTCTACATGTCATTGTTATAATTCTGTTGAACAGGCTTCTCTTGCCTCCTACTGATTAACCCAGTGAAAACAGAGCTGTTAAAGAGCTTTTTTAAGAGGGAGTAAGGCTGTAGAAGAATGACTGTGAATGCTAAGGAAGGTAAAATTTGCAAAGACAGAAAGTACTTTCTATTGGGCTGCCTGCATTAGCAGAGTAAAACACAAACATGCTCTTGGGCCTGGAGGCCCTTCTTTGGGTCTTAAGATGCTGCATCTATGTTACAAAATCTGTGTAATACCAGACATATTTTCTGCCTTGATAAACCCCCCCTTAGGATTCCTGGTAAGAAATACATTCAAAAAGGCTTTTCTTATTCTCTGTAATTTCAGTAGCTATATGTTAGTTCCTGTTTAAAGCACAATGCTTCAAGTTATTGGTGATTTTGGTACCTGTTCAAGGAATATGTGTTGAAATAACGCAGAGGCAAATGGATCCTATACAGGCTGTTTTAGATTGTGGATTCCTAGGGATGTAATGTAGCTCATAAAACTTTGATCCCTTTGGGATTCAGAATTGCTGAGCTATCTGATGGATTCATAGTTTAGAAATGTGACTTAGTTGTGCGGTTCAGTTCTCTGGTCTGGAAAAGTATTTACAGGATTTCTTGACCTCCTAGGGTATAGTCACATGTAGCTCTTTGTGTTAGTCTTGCCCACAGCAGGTACTGTTCAAGGAGTCTCTTGGGCTTGGGGAAATGTATTTAGCAGACTCAGACACTCCACAGCTCCAGAGTCTGCAACAAAAATTTTACAGAACCCTGGAGTGAGGAAGGAGAACAAATACAAAAGGGTATTAATTTGGCTTTTTTACAGCAGCTGGCATGAGACATATCAGCCTTAAGAGCCATTACTTTTAACTCAGCAATATTGAAGTTGTGTCATTATCTGGGAACACTTTTATTGATCTCATGTCTCCGGGTGTTATGTCAACAGGATGGACTATTACTAAGAAAGTCTTCTAGGAGATGAACTAAATGCTTGAATAGCCTACAGCTTGCTTCATGCTTGAAAACTGAACTAAAGCACAAAAAAAAGTGGTTTAAGGAAATTCTCTTCCAGCACCTGAAGGAAAGTCAAAATTTTCTTTTAGTCCCTAAAATCTTACGCTCTTTAAACAGTCTTCCTTGCAACCTTTCCCACTGCTTTGTAGTCTGCTTTATTTTGTGGAGATTTTTTAGTTGTTGAGTACTTTATTTTTAACCTGTTTTGTTTAGCTACCTATTTTTAGTTGTAAGGAAGAAGCTTCTGTACCTTTTAACATTGTTTCCCCTGTGTAACTTGATTGAAAGAATTTTGAGAGAGCACAATTTCTGTCTTCTGTTTGCTCTGGCCAGTGAACTCAGGAGCTTCTAATACGAAGATTAATATCAATTAGATGAAAGATACTTACAGTCCATACAAATTGCACTTATAAAGAGTGTAGTCAGGATGAACTGCATAGAATTGATTAAAGAGAGCCATGTGTTGGGTTCTAGTAGTGATACAGTTTCTTGTAAGTGAAATCTGTAATGGCATATTCTGCTATGAAATCACATAGTACATTTGATAATTGCTGATAATTTATCTTATAAGCAGACTGTACTATTACTCAAGAAAAAATAAGCTAATTTCTTAAATAGATTCAACAGAAGAGCATTGATTTTAGTACTTTTAGGTGACTCTACAGAAGATTTAAGCACTGTAAATCTGTAGATCTTCAGGTTATTTACCCCCTTCCTCCTCTCCAGTAAATACAGAACTATATAATAAGTAAATATTTGTGCATAACTCTAGCCAGTAGCAAGGACAGAGGAGAAAAGTGGTTCTAGTTATTTTAATGCAGTACTTATGATAGTACTTATGCAGCCGTTTTGTGTTTAGCTTTTAAAATGATACGGAAATGTCTCTATTCCATTTACAATAGACAGAGGCCTAGAACTAGAAAGCAGCAAAAAACAAGTATATTTTTGAATTCCTAATGTATGTTCTACTGGTTAAATCCAGATCCAGTTGTGCATGACCTCTTAGTTTGATTCAAGTTTGGAGCACTTGAAGTTTGTTAGTTCTTTTCTGTTTTACTCTATTTTTCTGACTTTAATTGTTTTTATTTCAAATATAGTAGTTGGGCAGAGGCTATTCTCACGTAAAACAAATCAGTCCTTGATATTGCTGCTGAGCAGCAGCATACATGAATCCAGCACTACCAAAATAGGAGGAGTTATTTTGCTAGAAGGCCAAGATGTGTCCAGAGTGACATAAGGTTATACAGAGCTTGACAAGAATAAACACTTTGAGAGCTATAAAATTGCTTTGACCTTGGGGCTTGGGAACCTAAGTGGAGCCTTAACTTTTAGCTATCTGTGTGTATGTAAATCAAAGCAAGTCATGGCCAGAAATGTTGCTAAGTATATTTTTCTCAGCAGTCAGTGTGACAGATGGTTGCAGTTCTTGGAGCAGTTGTGGTAGGCATAGGTATCCCTGGAGCAGAAACACACATAGCTCAGGGGCTTGTGGAAACCCTCATTGTGGCTTTGCTCGTGGAGAGCAGGATCTGAGTCAGAGGGAATTCTGAAGTGTCTCCAGATCTGTTGGGAATCACTCTGAAAAGTTTATGCAGTTTTGCACAAAGGAGTTCTGGGTGTGTGTGAACTTCAGTGAACAATGGTTCCAATGGATTTTGACTTCTTTCAGCTAGTTAATATTTAGAATGAATGACTGAAGGCTGTTTGTGATACCTTAGCTTTAAATAACGTCCTGGTCTATATTCCACATGTATTGATGTCATAGAATTTGGTCATTTAGTCAAACTCATTACTTTTGCTTTGATATTGGGCTTTCTTGGAAGCATTTCCTCTATTTTAGGTACTTACTAAAAGCAGCAAAGCTGCCCTTTTTTGGTAGTAAATTCCTACAGACTTCAGGGAATAGCATTAACATAGGTAATACAAAAAGAAATGGGGAATCACGTTTGTGAATCTTTTTGCAAGTACAATAATTTGTTTATTTTCATAGCTGCAGTATAACAGAGAGACCAAATCACTTTGTGAAGTTGTTTGGTATTTTTTTTTCTTTAACTACTGTACCAGCTATTAACAAGTTTTTTTCTCTTCTTGTGCTATTCTGTTCCTCTCTCTGGTTTTTACGTGCATCTAGGAGCCAAAACCAATAAAAGAGGCTAATGTTGGTCAGGTGAGGTTCCAGTTTGTCATGTTGGAAGAAGAAAATCCATTAGTGGGTTATTGGAAGGTGGAGGGAGGGCTGTGTGAAGATGCCAATGTCCAATGGAGTGACTGGGAAGAAATGGTTAGAGGCATTTTTAGCATTTATACTGGAATGCAGGGAGGCTCATCAATTGCACTTTTGTTCCCTGAGGGAGATCAGTGGGACAGGGAAGAGGTCCAGAATCGGGAAGTAGTCTGCACAAAATCTCAAATGCTTTTCACTTTGACATTATCTCAGCTTAGAAAGGAGAATGCCTGGATATTGCATTTCTGCATGGAATTATCTTAGAAACCTTGTGTTTCAAATAGGACCAACTTCTTACTGTCAATTGCATGGCATTGAGGACAGAGAAAATGGTCACATCTTTCATAATGAAGAAAAATGTTCACTTTGTTTTCTGGTAGAGTTTTGGCTTTGATTTTTTTGTCTTCGTTCTTCTGACCCCGACATTGTTCCATCTCTCTCATAGTAATTTCTTAAGTGACAGTGATTTTATAATAGAACCTTATTGTTTTGTTGTGTCATTTTTCTGGTGAATATTTGAATATTTTACTTTCACTAAACTTTTCTTCTCTTTTAAAACCACTTCTTCATTGACTTGAACTATGAAAGCTGCTATATCTAAAACCCCATCAGGTGACAGTTCTTTTAAAGTGTATGTTTGTGTGCATGGTTTTATGACATTTATAGGCTATTACTGTTTCCACTTTGATGAACAATGAACATACCAGGAATGTACCATGTGCAACATTTGAATGCAAATCCTAAGTTAAACACTTTCACAACTCTTAAGCTATGGGTGTATTGGTACAAGCTGGAATTCCACATGTCATTTCTCTCTTAGGAATTGCACAGATCTCTTAGGTATTCTTTTGGCTGCTGCCTTTTGGGCATATGCATTTTATAAAGTTGCTTAAAGAAAACGTTTTTTCTTTCTTGTTCATAAATGCAATTTGTGAGAGAATTTTGTTCCATTTTTTGAGAACCTGTAAATTCAAATGAAGTTGGGTTGTTCTGTGTGGGTTTTTTGTGTGACTAGTTGGGAACAAAATTGTGATTCTGTTCTGGGTGTCAGAAAGTTTGTAAGTGCTACAGAGCAAGCAAACCATGAAGGGGGACACAGCTCTCAAGCGGCTGAGTGGTTCAGACTGAAAAGTGCTTGGGCTTCTGAATTCTGTGAGCATGCTCAGATGTTTTGTTACTTCCAAAGAACTATTACATCATCTTATTTGCAAAGTCACTAGGCTATAGCTGTCTTTACATCCAACAGAGGTCTCAAGTGGGATATCAAATACATGCATTACATAATCAGAACAAAGCCTTTATTGGTTGATTGTACCCTTAGGGTGGGATGCTGAATGGTAGTTGCATATGGAAGACATAATCTTGCAGACTTAACCATTTCCTAACCATCCTATCAGCAGCTGTGAAGTGAAATAATAGCCTGGGGATAGGATTCACTTGGGAAAAGTGTAGCTAAAGAAAATAAGATTTTAAATTGGTTTAATGAGTTCATCATCTTTCTGTAAATGCACGTAAATGTATTGAAACAAACAGAAAGAACCAGAAGAGTTTTATGGATATATTTATAGACTGATTTGCTGAACTTTCATGTGGTATAATTCCTGTTGTTAATGAATTCAAAGGAGGTAGACCAATTTCCACCCAGTCTGTGGTTTTAATTTATTGGAAAATGATCCATTTAAAAATACTGGAAATAATTATTTTTTTTGGTTATGGAATATTAAGTTTGTCTTTCTAAGCTAATTTAAGTACTTTTTAGAGTTATTCACTTGTTAAGGACCATATGTGCAAAATATGTCTGGTGACTTTAATTGGTCCAGTTCAGAACTGATCTGGTTTTTAATAAGAACTTTTTTTGTGAAAGATATAATATAGAGCTTATAATTCTCAAGCTACATGAAAGTGATACTAAAGTTTGGTCTTTTATTGATTGTCTTGGTATTTTTTGTGATCTCAGTCTAGTTTTAATGAACCTGGATTTCATAAACCAAATTAAATGAACAGGTAAGTCCTTACTCTGAGGGAAATGAGACCACATTAAAAAAACAAAAACCAAACAAAACCCTTACATTAAAAAATCTGAGCTTTATGTTATGATGATCTACATGTGATTTCCTGTGTTGTCTTAATGCAATTTTTATATGTGGCTTCAGGGTCAAATTGTACTGAACTTTCAAATTAAAGCTGCTAGTCAGTCTCTGGGTGTGTGTACCTTTGAGGCTGGAAGGTGTTTTTCAGGGAAAATGCTGAACCCAAGGCCATGGGTTTTGTTTCTCTCTTCCCTCTTGTGCTACTCCCAGACTAAATTAGGCTCCAGTATGAGTAATCCATCAATATTGACTTCGCTTTTGAGGTGTATTTCTTGAAGAGTGGGAGCTGGTTGACAAGTTTTTTGTTATTGTGCCTGTCCCAACATATCCTTAGAAATAAAAAAATGGATTTGGTCATTTCACAGAATCCCCCCAGTTCTTCACCACATCAGTTTTTGATGGACAGTGCTCCCATAAAAATCTTGAAACAAGATACTGATTTTAGAAGTGTTGGTCTCAAAATACTCTCCTTGATCCTTCAAGAACCACTGGGACAGGGTTGTGTATAGTACTGAAGATCCTCAAGTGAAAAGCAAGGCATATACAGCAGAATTTAAAACTTCCTTGTATTTTTGTCCAGTCACAGTGTAATTCTTTGGTTTTTTTTGAAATGCATACCCATTACAGAGTGTGGATGAGCACTCAGTAGACTTAATAAAGCTAATATGCAAATTTTTGATGAATGCAAGTTTCAGCTGTTATCCATTGGATGGGCAATAGCTGATGCTTAACATCCTACCAACTTGCTTTTCTTTTACTTATTAGCAGTTCTGTTTAGAAAAGTAGAGAGGAGAGGGTTGGGTGGGGGGTGAGCCTATGTGACATTTTCTCCCTGATAGTTATTCATGTAGGCATCTTTCTGTTTCAGTCTCCCAGTGATATTTATACCAGTGGGGGAGCAGACATTGGGACAAAGGATTACTAGTTAATTTGGGAAACTAAATACACATGTGACTGATGTGTTAAGGAAAACACCACCACAAACACCCTGCAGGTTTTGGTAGGGAAGCATCAGCCTGTAGGATTTCTCTTTTTGACAGTGGAGCTTGCCACATGGCCTTTTTGCTTTTTGTCCTCTGTGAATTAGTCCTGAATACTACTCGGAAATAAGGAAGGAGTAAGGAAAAGCATAGATCTACATGAATTGCAGTCAGTTTCATAGGACACCTTGGAAGTAACAAACATCAAACTCTGGGATGAAAATTAGGCTTAAAAAACAGGTAAAATAACCTAGCATGTCCAAGAAGAGTCACTCAATAACAAAACTGTAAATAAAAGTAAGATGTGCTGGATAGTTCCCATTCTTAGCATAAACCTGTGTCTTTAAGTAACTAACAGTGGCTTTGCAAACTTAAGAAATTACCAGGTTTCAGGCTCTGCATCTCTGTTGGTTTCATTATGCTCTTGAGACTTTAAATGGAGGTAAAAGGTAATTCTGTAGTCTCTGATTATGTAGTTTAGGTAATTTTCTGACATTGGTTCCCTTTTTTCATTTGGAAACCTCTGTCTGCATCTCCTCACATTAAAAACAAATGAACAATCAAAAAACCCCTAACCAAATGAGAAAAAAACAGCCCAAGCACCTGAAATCAACCAACCAAAGAAATTAAAAACAAAACCAGAAAAATAGAAGATCAAGTATTGTCACGTAGTGATTGTGATGCTGATAATCAGTTCAAGAGCACTGCTGAAAGGAAAATAATGAAGTTTTACTTTGATTCTATTTAGTTTAGTAACATTTTTTATTACATGAATCTTATTACATGAATCTTCTCTTGAAGCTGGCCAGCATATCTACTTTTGTGCCGTTTGTCATCGAGTGATTCCTTTTGGAAACGCTTGGTTATTTTAAACCTGTTTAAAAAATGTATTTCTTGATGGACTCTTTACTTCTGTTTAATGATACCAAGGTAACTGCTCACTTCTCTTTTAGTGGATTCATCCATTTTTTCCCCCTGTATTAATATTTTTTTTTCTGCCCACCTTTCTGAAGAATTATCTGTGTGATTTTAGTTTTTCATGGTCTTCTCTTGACAACAAAAACAAGGGCATGTGTAGTGTTATAGATGTTATTTGAGATGCACTACTCTGGAATTGTGAAGTGTGTGACCAAGCTGACCCTGGGAAGCAGGAGTTGCAGGGAGAGAGACTGCAAACCACTGCTAAACTGAGCAGTGAGTTCACATGAAAAGACTGTTGGATCACCAGTGTTGATGCTTGGGTAAGTGAGTCACAAAGGAATCTTCCATCTGGAAACTGAAAGGAGGAAAGGTCTCTTTAAGGTAGCCTTAAAAAAAAAAGGTAAATAATTGCTTCTCCAGTACATGGCTGCAGCTATATATTTTGCAGCATGAGTCATAGATGGCTTTATAGTTCTATGTCCCCTTGCATAGGAAGAATAAACTTTGGAGAAGAGGAAGTTAAGAGAAAACAAGTGTGAACAACTGCTAATGGTGCTCTCTCTGGCTCCATTCAGTCTGCCATTCCATCATACTTGAAGGGGGTAATTCAGAGATTCCTTTCTTGGCATGTAAGTGGCAACATATGTTTGAAACAGTGAGTGGAAAATGTAGGAAAAAAATGACAGGCATATGGCAATAGGAAGGCAAGGAAAAATTTGTTGCCCTAACGTTAGCCACATAATTGGTACACTTAACTTCTGAGGGACTGATTTATTTAAAGACAAAAATTTATGCTCCATTTATTCAGGTTTTCTATATGTGGTCTTCATCTTACAGTGCCTTCCTAATTTCTCTGCTCTCTGAGGGAGTGGAAGGTGGTAGCAGAGGTTCAGAGCCTCAGCCAAGGAATAGAGGGGGAAACCTGGGTGCAAATAGACAAAACCAACCTTCATTCATATTCTCATTTTAAAAGAGGAAGAATTGAAAATCTCCTTTATTTCAATATTCAGTTTTATGCCTTTTTTTTATTTTTACCATATTGAGTTAGCTAAA